ACATATATGTCTATGTGAGTGTTTTTTGTGAGAAGCAATAAATGAGAAGCAGTGTTTTATCGTTTTAGTACGGGAGAGGTTCTACACTCAATTTAATCATCTCTGATAACCAACAACCTGAGAGAGCAACGACTGATGTGACCTTAATACACACGCACACACAGATAAACCTGTCATATATTAAACTCTGTCAGCTACAGAACAAGTTGTTCAACATTTTATCTGGTTATGTGTTGTGTATACATGTATTATTGTGTGTGTGAGTGTGTATTACTCGTGTTGTGGGGACATAAATGTCAAACTTTGGGGACATTGCTTTCCTTTTGGGGACTAAGTGCAAGTCTCCAAAATGTAAATCAGATAATTTTAGGGTGAAGACTTGGTTTAAGATTAAAGTCAGTCTTTTGGAAATTAATGTAAGTCAATGTAATGTCCCCTGAAGTGACGGGGAAACACGACTGTGTGTTTGTATGTAACAATGTGTGTGTGTGTGTGTGTGTGTGTGTGAGAGAGAGAGAGAGAGAGAGAGAGAGAGAGAGGATATTAGATAACAAGAGGATTTAATTATATAATTGAAATGATAGAAGCAGAAAAAATAGAAAAGAGGAGGAGGAGAGAGTCAAACCAAGGTGGCTGCTCCCTCGTGCTCCTCTTCCTCCTCCCTTTGTAACCTTCAATCATCTTTTTCCTCTTTCTTCCTTCTCATCATTCTTTAATTTTCCACCCCTCTTCTTTTTCTGTTTTTGTCCTTTGTCCTTCCTCTTTTTTCCTATTCTTCTCCTCCTCTTTTTTGTATTTTTAATCATCCAATGTTTGTCTGTTTACCTTCCTCACCTCTTCTGGTCTTATTCCCTTCCTCCTCTCCTGTTTTCTTTTTTCTTTGGTCTTCAGGCTTGCCTTCTTTCCTTTTTCTTCTTCACTCACTTCACTCCTCAACTCTCCATTCATCCGTCCTTCAATCCTCTTTTTCCTCTTTCCTCTTCTTATGACTATTTCTTTCCCCATCCCTCTTCTTCTGTCTCGTCATCATCGCCTCTTCTATCTCTCTTGTCACTAATCCTCTTCTTCTTATTCCCCTTTTTGTCCTTCCTCTCTTCTCATATTGTTCTTCTTTTTGTCTTCTTAATCATCCTGTTTTTGTCTGTCCCCCTTCCTCGCCTCTTTCCTCCTCTACTTCTGCTCTTATTCCCTTCCTCCTCGCCTCTTTCCTTTCACCTCTCTTTTCTTTCCAGGCTTGCCTTCTCTCCTCGTTTTTCTTCTCCACTCACTTCACTCCTCAACTCTCCATTTTTCCCTCTATTTGCACTGCTCTCTCCCTCCTTTTAATCTGCCCGGCTTTCTTGCATTTCTTCACCTCCTCTCTTCCTCTTCTCCTTCCAGCCTCTTCCTCTCTGTCTCTCCTTCACTCAGCTCCAGTTTGGTTTCCTGTTGCTATGGCAACTAATGAGGGAGTTGATCTCTGGGCTCCACTAAACTAAAGCAGCCTGCTCCTTTCTCCCCTTTTCTGTTTCAGTCTCGAGCTTCAGTCGGAAAACATCCTTGTCACTTGATGTTGACGTAGCAGCGGCGCTCATAACAGCTCCCCGACCAATCACAGAGCCAGATCAGAGTGGGAAGTGGAAAACACAACCCCCAGTGGGAACAGTGACCTGATCTGATCTGTTTTTGGGGGGCTATGTTGTCATGTAGGACAAAGTGAGAAATATTTGGTGCGACATCCATAGAATATTAAAGTAACCATCTAAACTGAAACACCACTGAATCAGCTTAAATTACATAACACGAGTGAAAGCTGCAGTGCTGGGTGATGTGTTTCATCATCAGTGGTCAGTGAATACCACTGAGTGAGTCATTTTAGCATGCTGATGTTAGCATTCAGCTCAAAGTCTCTGCTAGTTTGGATGTAGACAGAGGACATGGTATTTTTATCATGTTGCATATTTATAAAGGTTTAGTAATAAGTAAAACAAAGAATCCTGTAACTAGCTTGCATAATAATCTAAATTAGTTTTTGCATCCAGATATGAATTGAAATACTAATAGATACACAATCAGAGCACTAGCACAATACAATAAATGAACAAGTGTGTTAACACCCCAACATTTCACGTAAGTTTTCAAACATCTCACTTCAAAATTCCCTAAACTGCTGCCACAAAGTTAGAAAGGTTGTAACAATTAATTTTAAATATCTTAAATAACAAAACTGTTAAATACTCTAAAAATATGAGAGTAAGTTTTAATCAGTTTAAAAAGACAGTCATGTTGTCTTTAAGGTCTGATTATGCCACTCTGAATGTATACGTACTGTTCAGTCCTACATATGTATTTATTACTGTTATGTAGATTTATCATTTTTATATTGTATATATTATGGAAATTAGCAATGTGCTATAACTGGTGCAATACATTTATTGTACAATAAATAAATAAACTAATAAATAAAATTGGAAACAACAAGTACAGTTACTGTGTTGTGATTCTCTGAGGCATAACTGATGAGTATTTTTATGTCCTTCTAGTGTGTACACTCACCTAAAGGATTATTAGGAACACCTGTTCAATTTCTCATTAATGCAATTATCTAATCAACCAATCACATGGCAGTTGCTTCAATGCATTTAGGGGTGTGGTCCTGGTCAAGACAATCTCCTGAACTCCAAACTGAATGTCAGAATGGGAAAGAAAGGTGATTTAAGCAATTTTGAGCGTGGCATGGTTGTTGGTGCCAGACGGGCCGGTTTGAGTATTTCAAAATCTGCTCAGTTACTGGGATTTTCACGCACAACCATTTCTAGGGTTTACAAAGAATGGTGTGAAAAGGGAAAAACATCCAGTATGCGGCAGTCCTGGGGGCGAAAATGCCTCGTTGATGCTAGAGGTCAGAGGAGAATGGGCCGACTGATTCAAGCTGATAGAAGAGCAACTTTGACTGAAATAACCACTCGTTACAACCGAGGTATGCAGCAAAGCATTTGTGAAGCCACAACACGCACAACCTTGAGGTGGATGGGCTACAACAGCAGAAGACCCCACCGGGTACCACTCATCTCCACAACAAATAGGAAAAAGAGGCTACAATTTGCAAGAGCTCACCAAAATGGGACAGTTGAAGACTGGAAAAATGTTGCCTGGTCTGATGAGTCTCGATTTCTGTTGAGACATTCAGATGGTAGAGTCAGAATTTGGCGTAAACAGAATGAGAACATGGATCCATCATGCCTTGTTACCACTGTGCAGGCTGCTGCTGGTGGTGTAATGGTGTGGGGGATGTTTTCTTGGCACACTTTAGGCCCCTTAGTGCCAATTGGGCATCGTTTAAATGCCACGGCCTACCTGAGCATTGTTTCTGACCATGTCCATCCCTTTATGGCCACCATGTACCCATCCTCTGATGGCTACTTCCAGCAGGATAATGCACCATGTCACAAAGCTCCAATCATTTCAAATTGGTTTCTTGAACATGACAATGAGTTCACTGCACTAAAATGGCCCCCACAGTCACCAGATCTCAACCCAATAGAGCATCTTTGGGATGTGGTGGAACGGGAGCTTCGTGCCCTGGATGTGCATCCCACAAATCTCCATCAACTGCAAGATGCTATCCATCAATATGGGCCAACATTTCTAAAGAATGCTTTCAGCACCTTGTTGAATCAATGCCACGTAGAATTAAGGCAGTTCTGAAGGCGAACACAGTATTAGTATGGTGTTCCTAATAATCCTTTAGGTGAGTATATTTGGCAATTGTAAGTGGCTTTGGATGAAAGCGTCAGCTAGATGAATAAATGTAAATTTACTCAAAACTTAAATTCTGGACACAAAATAACAAGCCCCTAGTAAATAATCTGGGTGTGCTTCTGGACCCAGATGTTTACTCACGAAAAATTGCCTTTTACCACCTCTGAAGTAGCTGCAGTACAGCCGTGTCTCACTCAAATAGACACCGAGAGACTTATTTTCATTACCAGCAGACTCGACTGCTGCAACACGGTCTTCTCTGGTCTACCAAAGACCAACCTGTTTGTATCATATGTTCCCCAGTATACCCTCTGATCTCTGAGGACGTGTCAAACATTAAGTTTAAAAAAAAAAACAAATAAACCCACTTAAAATCCATCTTTTTAGTTCAGCATCTCTGATTTATTTTTATTGATTTATTGATCTTAATATTTTTTTACTTTTTCTCTATGCAATTAATAATTCTCATTTTCATTTTGTTAAGTTTGTTTTGCTTAAAAACTTTGCAATGCATGACTCTTTTATCACTGTACTTTCTAGTATATATCATATATTGTATGTTGTCGAATATAAAACACCCAACACCAACTAGAAATCCCGGCACAGCGCCGGAGAACATTAAACCCTAATAAAATAATAAAAGAGCAGCAGTCAGTTTCTACCAGCCAACAGTAATGAGGAAGAACTGATCTCACATCCTGACTAAGAGGGGGGGGGGGGGGTGAAGACAAAATGAGCTCAGAGCTGCTTCATAGCAAACTCTGCCCTCTAAAAGTCCCTCCATGTTATTATCTGATTACAAACAGGTCCAGACATTTAGAGCCTTCAGAGTTCACTTTCAGTTCTCAGCTACAAAGTTACAGTTAAAGAAAGTTCATAATCCTGTTTTATTGACTTTACTGACTTTTGGTTACGTCTGCTCTAAAGGCAGGAAGCTGCTCAAAGGTCAACAAATAACTGATTTAAAGTCTGTTAGAATGTAAATAAAGAGTCAGACTGGACTGTCAGCTTCATGGTTTTAAAATGAGGACATAACGCTCGCTGTCTGTAACCTGAAAGCCGGACGGCTGCCTGGAAGCTCAGGAGGGTTTTGGTTGAGCTGCTTTTGATTCCAGCTCCAAGCAACATTAACAGGATCAACAGCTCTGATTGTGTGAAATAAAAACATGCACGTACTCTGTGGATTAAGATTCTACATACCTACATTCAACACATAGATACAGTTTTACCGACATCATGGATCTGTACTCTGACTCAAGTAACATTTTGACTTTAGTTTTATATTGTGTTTAAAGTCAAAGATACATAAATATCTGCCAACAGTGGACGCTGTCAGAAACAGACACATCACAGCCTCATGTCTCTGCAGCAGAGATCAGTTCAGCATCAGAAAGTTGGTTACAGGAGAAATAACCAAGATCATTAGTTTCCTTTTGTTAAAGACTGAGAAAAGCAGTTGTGGATCAAGTATACAGAAACTAAAGCAAAAGTACCCATAACACACTACTAAATACAAGTCCTGCATTGAAAATGTTACTGAAGTAAAAGTCCAAGAGAAAGAGAACAATCAGGAAAATGTACTTGAAGTATTACAGCAGTAAAATGTCCCTGTGACTGTTGTACTATTAAATATTCTACCAACAGATTATTTTTCCTCACAAATTAATATAAATCAGCATTTTACTGCTGTAGTTGTTGAGCTGGAGCTCAATTTAAACTATCAGACTGCAGCTGATGAGATGATTATTTTCATTCTGATTATTTTCTCCATTAATCGATTGATTGTAAAGATTCTGTAAATTGTGAGAAATGCTGTCACAGTTACTCAGAGCCCAAAGTGACACCTTTACAATGCTTGTTGTGTCCAAACCTCAACTTATTAACAAACAAGCAGCAAATCTTCACATGTGACAGCCAGCAGATGTTTTTACATGAAAAATGATTATCAGAATAGTTGGACATTAGTTCACCACAAACCACAAAGAAACATGAGTCCACTTCAGTCCAGACTATCTGTATCGTTGTCTAAGAACATTTCACAGTCAGAGTTCCTGAGCAGCTCTCAGAGAAGACGATGAAAAATGTCCTTATGCAGGAAAACAGAGCTGCAGTGAATCCAAACAGGATCTTTTCCCCTCTGATGCAGGTCGGTGAGTGAACAACAGGGACTGAGCTCTTCAGGGTCGGACTGGGAACAAAGTCCAGCTCCGTCATCCAGAACAGACTGTTAGTGTTATAACTGCAGCTAGCAGGATGTTGAGCGGCACTGACATCAGTAACTGTTGATCAAAAATTTATTTTCATTTTTCTCTCTGTGTTTAGCGTGTTTCAGTTCTTTACCCATTTAATTGTATTTACATGGATGGACAGATCCACTTGAAGGGGTGGGGGGAGGTGCTGACGGTCTGTACCACTTCCTGTAATTAACAATCAGCTGGCTGTTCCAGCATCAGGTCATATTGTTTGTCCCACAGAGCTGCTGGTCAGTCAGCCCATCTGGCATTAACCTGCCTCCAGGTGAAATCAGACGTGTGTCAACAGCTCAGGTTTATTTTACAGGAGGAATGTGTTTCTTCTGTCCAGCAGCACATTCAGTCCACCAATCAGCAGCCAGAGAGTAACGACCAATCACTGCTCCCCACAGTAACCAGAGTGACTTCAGTCTGGATCCTCACTAATTCTCATCTGCTGTCTCTGGTCTCTTAATCTCTCTGCAGGTTCTGCAGTTCATGTCTGTTTATAGCAGGTTGTTGATTCCCTTTGGGTCTGTTATATAAGATCACAAAACCACCAACACCAAGAAGAAGAAGAATCACACAAACTGGCAGACCGACTCTCAGTCCAACATTTCTCTCCTTGCCTCCTCCCTCCTTGTCTCCTCCCTCCTTGTGTCCAGCTGTGTGACCTGCAGAGCAGAAACAGGTGTGAGGTATCGGCTGTCAGCAGGTGAACAGAATGTCAGACATTATCTACTGCACTTTGATCACATGACTCGTAGCAGCTGTTTCCTCTAAAGTCTCATCAGCAACATCTTTCTAAAACACAAACATCTGATCTGTGATGTTTCTCAGCTCAACTACCAGGAAGCAGCTTCACCTGAGAGACAAAGAGACACTCTGAGCTCTATACGCTCACCTGAGAGACAAAGAGACACTCTGAGCTCTACACGCTGACCTGAGAGACAAAGAGACACTCTGAGCTCTACACGCTCACCTGAGAGACAAAGAGAAACTCTGAGCTCTACACGCTGACCTGAGAGACAACGAGACACTCTGAGCTCTACACGCTGACCTGAGAGACAACAAGACACTCTGACCTCTACATGCTGACCTGAGAGACAAACAGACCCTCTGAGCTCTACAAACTCACCGGAGAGACAAAGAGACACTCTGAGCTCTACATCCTGACCTGACAGACAACGAGACACTCTGAGCTCTACACACTCACCTGAGAGACAAAGAGACACTCTGAGCTCTACATGTCGACCTTAGAGACGACGAGAGAATCTGAGCTCTACAAACTCACCTGAGAGACAAAGGGACACTCTGAGCTCTAAAACCTGACGTGAGAGACAACGAGACACTCTGAGCTCTACACGCTCACCTGAGAGACAACGAGACACTCTGAGCTCTACATGCTGACCTGAGAGACAACGAGACACTCTGACCTCTACATGCTGACCTGAGAGACAAAGAGACACTCTGAGCTCTACAAACTCACCTGAGAGACAAAGAGACACTCTGAGCTCTACATCCTGACCTGACAAACAACGAGACACTCTGAGCTCTACACACTCACCTGAGAGACAAAGAGACACTCTGAGCTCTACATGCCGCCTTTAGAGACGACGAGAGAATCTGAGCTCTACAAACTCACCTGAGAGATAAAGGGACACTCTGAGCTATACATCCTGACCTGAGAGACAACGAGACACTCTGACCTCTACATGCTGATCTGAGAGACAAAGAGACACTCTGAGCTCTACACGCTCACCTGAGAGACAACGAGACACTCTGAGCTCTACATGCTGACCTGAGAGACAACGTGACACTCTGAGCTCTACAGGCTCACCTGAGAGACAAAGAGACACTCTGAGCTCTACAGGCTCACCTGAGAGACAAAGAGACACTCTGAGCTCTACACGCTGACCTGAGAGACTAAGAGACACTCTGAGCTCTACACACTCAAATGAGAGACAAAGAGACACTCTGACCTCTACATGCTGACCTGAGAGACAAAGAGACACTCAGAGCTCTACAAACTCACCTGAGAGACAAAGAGACACTCTGAGCTCTACATCCTGACCTGTCAGACAACGAGACACTCTGAGCTCTACACACTCACCTGAGAGACAAATAGACACTCTGAGCTCTACATGTCGACCTTAGAGACAACAAGACACTCTGAGCTCTACACACTCACCTGAGAGACAAAGAGACACTCTGAGCTCTACTCACTCACCTGAGTAACAACGAGACACTCTGAGCTCTACACGCTCACCTGAGAGACAAAGAGACACTCTGACCTCTACATGTTGACCTGAGAGACAATGAGACACTCTGAGCTCTACATGCTGACCTGAGAGACAAAGAGACACTCTGAGCTCTACATGCTGACCTTAGAGACAACGAGACACTCTGATCTCTACACGCTCACCTGAGAGACAAAGAGACTCTCTGAGCTCTACCAACTCACCTGAGAGACAACGAGACACTCTGAGCTCTACATGCTGACCTGAGAGACAACGAGACACTCTGAGCTCTACCAACTCACCTGAGAGACAACGAGACACTCTGAGCTCTACATGCTGACCTGAGAGACAACGAGACACTCTGAGCTCTACATGTTGACCTGAGAGACAACGAGACACTCTGAGCTCTACACGCTCACCTGAGAGACAACGAGACACTCTGAGCTCTACATGCTGACCTGAGAGACAAAGAGACACTCTGAGCTCTACAGGCTAACCTGAGAGACAAAGAGACACTCTGAGCTCTACAGGCTCACCTGAGAGACAAAGAGACACTCTGAGCTCTACACGCTGACCTGAGAGACAAAGAGACACTCTGAGCTCTACACACTCAAATGAGAGACAAAGAGACACTCTGACCTCTACATGCTGACCTGAGAGACAAAGAGACACTCAGAGCTCTACAAACTCACCTGAGAGACAAAGAGACACTCTGAGCTCTACATCCTGACCTGTCAGACAACGAGACACTCTGAGCTCTACACACTCACCTGAGAGACAAATAGACACTCTGAGCTCTACATGTCGACCTTAGAGACAACAAGACACTCTGAGCTCTACACACTCACCTGAGAGACAAAGAGACACTTTGAGCTCTACTCACTCACCTGAGTAACAACGAGACACTCTGAGCTCTACACGCTCATCTGAGAAACAAAGAGACACTCTGACCTCTACATGTTGACCTGAGAGACAATGAGACACTCTGAGCTCTACATGCTGACCTGAGAGACAAAGAGACACTCTGAGCTCTACATGCTGACCTTAGAGACAACGAGACACTCTGAGCTCTACATGCTGACCTTAGAGACAACGAGACACTCTGATCTCTACACGCTCACCTGAGAGACAAAGAGACTCTCTGAGCTCTACCAACTCACCTGAGAGACAACGAGACACTCTGAGCTCTACATGCTGACCTGAGAGACAACGAGACACTCTGAGCTCTACCAACTCACCTGAGAGACAACGAGACACTCTGAGCTCTACATGCTGACCTGAGAGACAACGAGACACTCTGAGCTCTACATGTTGACCTGAGAGACAACGAGACACTCTGAGCTCTACAAACTCACCTGAGAGACACAGGGACACTCTGAGCTCTATGAACACACCTGAGACAACGAGACACTCTGAGCTCTACATGCTGACCTGAGAGACAATGAGACACTCTGAGCTCTACATGCTGACCTGAGAGACAAAGAGACACTCTGAGCTCTACATGCTGACCTTAGAGACAACGAGACTCTCTGAGCTCTACACGCTCACCTGAGAGACAAAGAGACTCTCTGAGCTCTACAAACTCACCTGAGAGACAACGAGACACTCTGAGCTCTATGAACACACCTGTGACAACGAGACACTCTGATCTCTACACGCTCACCTGAGAGACAAAGAGACTCTCTGAGCTCTACAAACTCACCTGAGAGACAACGAGACACTCTGAGCTCTACATGCTGACCTGAGAGACAATGAGACACTCTGAGCTCTACATGTTGACCTGAGAGACAACGAGACACTCTGAGCTCTACAAACTCACCTGAGAGACACAGGGACACTCTGAGCTCTATGAACACACCTGAGACAACGAGACACTGTGAGCTCTACATGCTGACCTGAGAGACAACGAGACACTCTGAGCTCTACAAACTCAACTGAGAGACAAAGAGACACTCTGAGCTCTACATGCTGACCTGAGAGACAACGTGACACTCTGAGCTCTACAAACTCAACTGAGAGAAAAAGAGACACTCTGAGCTCTACATGTTGACCTGAGAGACAATGAGACACTCTGAGCTCTACACACTCACCTGAGACTCTCATGTTGACGATGGTGACGAGTTCAGCTTTGCCTTTCTCATTTTTCTCTCTAATCTGACACTCATATGTTCCAGCGTCGTTGATGTTGACGTTCTTCAGAATCACAGAAGCGTCTCCGTCTTTCATCTCTGGATCTCTCAGCTCCACTCGACCACGATAAGATTCATGCTGGTTGTTTTCATTTGAGCTGCCGTCTCTGAAGAAGAAGACATAATCATCTGACTTCACGTCAGGTCTGATCCACTTTATCACTTCTATGTCAGCACCTCTGTGACCCTGACACTGAAGAGTGGCGTCCTCTCCAGGATTCACCTTCAGCTCCTGTGTCTCTGAACAGAAAGAGAAAAGCCTCCAGTCAGGACTTGTAATGTTTCCTGTTGTTCAAATATCTTTTGATGGAAGCAGCTCTACAAACTCACCTGAGAGACAACGAGACACTCTGAGCTCTACAAACTCACCTGAGAGACAAAGGGACACTCTGAGCTCTCTAAACACACCTTAGACAAAGAGACACTCTGAGCTCTACTCACTCACCTGAGAGACAAAGAGACACTCTGAGCTCTATAAACACACCTTAGACAAAGAGACACTCTGAGCTCTACTCACTCACCTGAGAGACAAAGAGACACTCTGAGCTCTACATGCTGACCTTAGAGACAACGAGACACTCTGAGCTCTACTCACTCACCTGAGAGACAAAGAGACACTCTGAGCTCTACATGCTGACCTTAGAGACAACGAGACACTCTGAGCTCTATTCACTCACCTGAGAGACAAAGAGACACTCTGAGCTCTACAGGCTCACCTGAGAGACAAAGAGACACTCTGAGCTCTATTCACTCACCTGAGAGACAAAGAGACACTCTGAGCTCTACAGGCTCACCTGAGAGATAAAGAGACACTCTGAGCTCTACAGGCTCACCTGAGAGACAAAGAGACACTCTGAGCTCTACACACTCACCTGAGACTGTCATGTTGACGATGGTGACGAGTTCAGCTTTGCCTTTCTCATTTTTCTCTCTAATCTGACACTCATATGTTCCAGCGTCGTTGATGTTGACGTTCTTCAGAATCACAGAAGCGTCTCCGTCCTTCATCTCTGGATCTCTCAGCTCCACTCGACCACGATAAGATTCATGCTGGTTGTTTTCATTTGAGCTGCCGTCTCTGAAGAAGACATAATCATCTGACTTCATGTCAGGTCTGATCCACTTTATCAGGTCTATGGTAGCACCTCTGTGACCCCGACACTGAAGAATGGCGTCCTCTCCAGGCTTCACCTTCAGCTCCTGTGTCTCTGAACAGAAAGAGAAAAGCCTCCAGTCAGGACTTGTAATGTTTCCTGTTGTTCAAACATCTTTTGATGGAAGCAGCAGAGATCAGGTCTCTATAAAACAGCACATGTGAACTCAGCAGCATTTCAAACCCTGTTCTCAGACAACTTGAGTCCCAGCTGCAGAAAGGAGAGACTAACTCCTCTGCTGCAGCTGCACGCTGACTTCATGTTGCTCATTTCTACAGCTGTCAGTCAAGTCGTCCTCCGCACCATCAGACAGGAGACATTTTACTTTCATCTGCTTTCTGCTTGTTTGGAGATTATTGATTATTGATATTATTTCCCATCTGAATACAGACATCAGCATTTCTGTCCCTGAACAAACAGCTGAAATATTAAACATGTGAAGTTTATTATTTCCTAGAAGCTTTGAATCTTTGTCCTTGTTTTCCAAATGTGTCCCCAGTCTGTCCGTCCTCTACTCAGACTGTGTCTGAACTACTTCTACTGAGGAAAGAGTCCCTACAGTATGAAACTGCTTTACGTCTCAGAGAGACAAATGAAGCTGCTGGATCTGCATGGACAGACACCACGAGAGGGGAGAGGACACATGTTGGTCTCTGCTGTCCATCCGTCCACACAGTAAACTACAGTGCTGGAGAGGAACAGAGGTCAGAGGTGGAGACTCTGTTCACAAGTCAGCTCATAATAAACTTTAGGAGGTTACAAACTTATCCAGCAGCCTGCAGAGTCAAAGTCCAGTAAATATATTTGAGTCAATAATATAATGAACATGTTGTAAATAGAACTGAATGAATAAGTTACAACAACAGTTATTATAATTACTGTAATAACTGTAGGACACTTAGTATACTAACAAAGTTCACAGGAATACAGGAAGTTTGACACATTTCCCTCCCTGTAATGATCATTAAACAGTGAGTCTAATTTCACAGTTGCTGTGTCATGATATTAAAAATAATAATAACTGACATTAAGTACTACATATACTGAATCTTCATATGTTCCTAACATGGATTTATTTCATCACTAGCGTAACATGCAGTAAGATAATCACAGATATGCATCAGTGTGGAACAAATAAACAACTGAAACGATTCACAATGTAATGTGCAATGTTGCTTTCAGCTGTTTTCTCGCTCACACGTGGCCGTTTAATAAACAGGAAATGTTAGATGACACATGGTGCAACATTACGTCACCATGACAGCAGCGGGGCAGAAATTGCTTTTAACATGGAGGCAATAAACAAATACATACATAAAATCTGTTTTAAGTGACAAACAGAAACATGCTGCTCGTGCTGATAATGTAGCAGGCTTGTGTGGAAACTAAAAGGTAAAGCAGATTTGTGGTGCTGTCGTCTTGATCATGTGCTCCGAGATTCTTTCACTCCACGTGTTCGTGCACAGCAGTTGTGCTGCAGTGAAACTATTTCCTCTTCACAGAGCGCCATTTTGTTCAGTGTCTCTCTAAAATACTTCTGAACTTTAGATGGTTGGAGAACAGATCGTCTAGCTGATGAGTTGACACACGTTATGCGAATCGTTGTATTTCCGTAATCAGTGACATCTTTGAATCACCCCAGACCTACCACACGGGCACACACTCCTCTTACCTTGACACAGAACAACGATCCATGAACATGCGAACAAAGCCACGAATGGCGGCCATGTTAAAGCGACCATGACTGACTTATTCTTTCTTCTCTGTAGTTTCTGTTGACAGCGGACCGCCTACGGTGATCTACAGTGATAATCTCTCGATCGTTGTCAGGTTAGGTCACATATTTAGAAGCAGAGATGATGAAGGTGATGACCAGACTGAATGCTTCTTCCTTTTCTTTTACAGTGGACCCGCACTGCCGAGGGAGCGGGGAAGGTGACACGTAATTTCTGACGTCTGCGTGAGGTTGTTTATTTGTGATCTTGGCTGAACTTTTGTCAAGTGAGTGAGAAGTGAGTCCTCTCCCAGGAACCCAAAGAATGGTGTCCCAATGCATGATGTTAGATCCCGAGTTACCCCTGTTCAGGAGGTACTGGACCAGCTCTCCGTCTTAAAGGGCCCGATCCTCTAGGCCTGTGGGTATTACCCTATTAGGTATAACTGAGGACTGTTTAAGCTGCTGTCGAAGAGATTCGCCTAGCTTCTAACTGTCTTCTTCCGAACGCCTACCCTGCTTACTCTGAATTGGCCCTAGAGCCAAATATCACCCCAGCCACACCCGTTAACGACAGCTCTCTGATTGATACTAAGTAAAATGATAAAATGTTTAAAATTCAAAATCTGATTATAATAGCTGAGCTTGAGTGATTTAGATGTCTTCTTTTTGGAGAGAAAGGGAGGAGAAGGCGTCGTCTTGGCCAAGGAGATCTTTCCCTCTTCTGTGGATCTGTAGAATCTTGTAGAAACTTGGTTTGGTTGTTGTGGTTGTCCTCTGTGGCTCAATCTCTTGAAGTCCACTGAAGAAAACTCTGAAGAAGTCTCTAGTTGTCTGCTGTTCAAATCTCCAACTCTTGTCTTAGGCTCTTGGTCCGCTTGGTCCTGCTCCGAGTCCAATGTCTGTGAGGTCTGCCGAGGAATAACCCCAATCTCTTCCTGACTCCTTTTATTTATCCTACTCCGTAGCTGAGTTTTCCTGTCAAATCAGCCACAACCCTTTTCCTGTTTACGTGAGTTGGGCCAAAGCTCTCCTTACTTGACCGTTTCATTTTCCCTTGCTGACCCTTCTCTCCCGATGAAGACTGTTACACCCATTTCAGTATTTCACAACAAGTTCAACATATCTCAACATGATTCTTCACTTCTTTTACTCTTCCACACACATTTGTATCAATACTATTAAAAATCATGATCTCCTTAATTTCGTTAATCATAATCATTTCATTTCATGGCTATAATCATATGTTAGTTGATCACTTTATAATTAACTGTCTCATTTGCATATTTAAACATAACATTTCAGAAAACCTGTAATACAAAAAAATATTTTCTTAATATAAGTAATCAACTAGGAAAGTTTCACAGTGATATCTATTAGTTGTTTTTTTACCACCTACAGTCTCTCACTTCATTATTAAATAATAATAATATGTTGATTAATAATTATTTAATATAAATATTGATGCCATCTAAAGCCTAATATCCAACAACAGTGATTCATTTTCAACAATACTGAGAGATTAACAACAAAAGTATATAAAATACAAGATTGATGATATTAAGGGCTACACAAGGTGGACACAAACGTTATAATGTGATACGAATATCCATCACCATAGACAATGTTATTTAATACTCAGTTTATTCTCTTCAGCTTTGTTCCCTTCTGGCCTTTTTGAATTCTGTAGTATTGATCAAGTGGGCGATGAAAGTTTTCACTGCATGCAAGCTTTGCAGTAATGTTGCACACAGTCTGTGTCAGACAATGGGTTTTCACAGTGAATCCAACCAGTCCTTCACATAGAAACAGTAGTCCTATACAGGCTGTGAGAGGCAACTGAGAAAGTTGGTGAACGCCTCAATTTTTAGGTGAAGTTACAACCTGCTCACATACAGACCATAACAATGTTATAAATCTGTTTAAATTCCTTTTCAAAACTCCACAATTCCCCTTTTAAAGGTGCGTCGCTGACTTAACTGGTTACAGATCAGAGTTGCGCAGCAGTCTTAAAATATGTTGAAAGGTCTTGAAACAGGTCTTTAAAGGTATTTTTACTGCAGGATTCCTGTGTATACCCTGGGTAAGGTAAGTCAGTGATGACAGCAATGGAAAGCACCACCTCACGTATAATCAGACTATGCTAAGACAAATATAACTTTATTAAGACAGAGCAGCACA